TGGGGTGGGGTGCGGCGGGCAGGAAGCGTGGCCGGGCCACTCTTATGAGACACTCCGTGTGCCAGCAGATTTCGCAGCCAAGCGGCAGCAGGGAGGATATCCCTGGGAGGATTCTCTCCTCTCCGACGGCACACTCTCCTCCTCTCCTCTCTCTCTCCCTCCCTCACCCCTATATCCGCCGCACATTCCTCATCTTGCTCTTACTCTTCTCCCTCTCCTTCTTGGCGTTGATCAATCTGCCCTGATGCTACTGCTGCTGCTGGGCGACTCTCAGGAGCTCGCTGGAGCGGAAGGAAATGTGGAACGAAGGGAGAAAGGGGGAAGGGGGCTTCATGAGAATGTAATAATGAGGAGTGCGTAAAAATGCGACCGCATCCCCCCGGGCCGCGCCGGCTAGGTGTCAAATTAGAGCAATTTTTCACGATGTAAAAAAGATTATTGGGATGGAGCGGCCTGTAGACTGTAGGGCTGGGCCGCCCAGCTGGGCGACCTACTCCGGAATTTGGGAGCAACGTTTCGTTAGCCACCTGCTGGACACTTTCACCACCTTCTCGTGTTCCGAGGCACTCCCTGCACTATTCACACTCTCATTCCTGGGAACGCAAAAAGGCCACTGAACGGTCTCTTGTGCACGAGACAAGTCTTTTTACAAAGTCACACAGTTGCGTTACATGCCCACAGCCCGTTACCTTTTCTACCTCTATGACGTGCAGCATGCAGGAGGGCGGGGGCATGTTGTCTACGCGCTCGACAAGCAGAGAAGACAGGCAGTCACCCGGCACGCCTGCTAAATGTGAGCTCTGTTCGCAAACTGAAAGTCAAAGAAAATAAAAAGTATGCTTAGTAGCCGATATAAGAGGTAGGCATGCATTCGCACGCATTGCAGCCTGAGTTTTGCAGACGTTGATACTTGATAGGTCATGTCCGTCTGTCTGCCCGCGTGTACAGTGCACCCTTCAAACCCTACCCGATCCCGGTGAGGACGAGTGGAACGTTTGCATGCAGGGATGAGGGTACGTTCAGTTAGGGCGCGTAAACAAGTTTCTGCTCTCTCTTGCCCCCCCCCCCTCTATCTCTCTTTCGCCCGCAGGCAGCACTGCTGTGCGCTCCGTGTGGGAGGCTCCCCCGATTACCTCTCGAGTGTTGGACCAATGTGCGGGGGTGGGACCCCGCGCCCGGCGGGGGAAGGGAGGGGGGGGGGTTAGGTACAGTGGGACGGGCTGCAGCTCCCGAGCAGCCCGCGGCCGGTTCAGGCCCTGAATATGTAAACAGCTGCTCAATGCCTTTCCTCCGACCGTGCTCCGGTCCGGCCTCCCGCTGCCCCTGCCTCGCGCGAGCATTACTGCACACCCCTTCCTGACTGCCCCCCCCCCCCGAACCCACCCCCACCTTAGTCTCTCATCTCACCTTGCCTCCGCTGACGCCCATATACTTTTGTTTCCCATCTCTCTCCCTCCTTCAGCAGCGGCGGCGTGGGTGGGGCGCGAGGCGGTGGAGGCCCCTTGTGCCCCGTGCACGAGATGCATCCCCCCCCCCTTTCTCCCTCGCCCCTCAGGCAACGCGAAGGCTTTGATTGTGTTCGCGGGACGACAAATCAGCCCGCAGACAAACAAGATGAGAGCAAAGCCAGACTGAAGGGGGGAAAGGGGAGTCGACGGGGGGAGGTACGCGGCGAACAGGCACACGGACAGACAGGCTGAGCTGGCGGGTGGGTTGAGACGGCGCGGAGGACCGAGAGCAGAGCAGGGCCGTCGAGTCGCTCTTCTGTCCGCCTGGCCGTGCCCGCCTTTGTTGTAGTGGAGTGCCTCGCTGCGCCCGACGCGCTTGCTGCGAGGCTCGCTGCAGGGACAACGCCGCCAACAACAACGCGCCCTTCTCTCTCTCTGTCCCGGCCTTTCCCCTGCTCCGGCCGGCGCAACGCTGCACTAATTCGTTTAACGACTTGATATATTTGTATCCCAAAGAAAAATAATTTACCGGAAGGGCTAAACGGTGTCTGGGGTGGTCGGCATGGAGTCCTGCTGGTGGACGTCGTGGTGGTGGGTTTGAGCTCCCGACCCCATGCGGACGTGGGTCTGACGGAGGCGGGGCGCGGCGGGGCAGGGCGGTGCGAGGCAGAGCGGGGCGGGGTGAGGCGGGGTGGGGCGCGGCGCGGCGCGGCGCGGCGGCGTCCGGACGCGTGATTACCAGAGTCGCAGACCCGAGGAGCGCCTGTAAATCACGCTTGTGGTCCTGCCCCTCTGCCCTGCCGCGGGGCGCGAGCTGCTCTGGCCTTCCTTTGCTCGCTCTCGCTCGCTCTCTTCCACCCTCGCTCGCTCCCGCCCGATGGCTGCGCCCGGGCACACTCGGCGGCAGTGCAGGCTGCTTTCGCAAACTCCCCTGCCTGGCGCCACCTTCACTTCGCGTCCATTTTACCATGTGAGCGGACCGCGAAGCCCGCGCGAAAGCGCCGCCGCAACTCCTCACTTCCCTTCCGTTTCCCACCGCCGCCGCGCGGGGGGTCGCTGCTGCAGTCCCCCCCCC